AAGATTTAATATGTCCAACAATAATAGTCGGGCAGTAGTCAAGCAGTATTAGTATAATGACAACAATTAAGTAATTATCGGATTGTGGTGATTCGGCTAGGGGTGTAAGTGAGCCAACTAGGCTTGTGAGACAGCTCAAACTCAACTCACTAACAACTCATACGTTGAGTTTTAACAAGACACGAGCTAGATTTCAAATCAAGATCATGTATCATACGAGCTCAAGCTCAAACTTATGGTGGCTCAACACACTATCCAACTCGATTTAAAAACTTATATTTGATTTTTTTAGTAGTCCAGTTCATTGTCAATTTGAATCGTTGCATATGGTTTTTAGTACTTTATGAGTAGTGTTTTGATAAATTCAGTCAAAGTTCTATAGCACTCAATCAAACCACACATATATAATCATTTGATCATAAATCATTTATTCTACACGTAAATTCAAAATAAATTTTAGGTCATACTTGTTCTTGTGAACATTTGTGATTGTGCCAAATAGAATTTGGAAGAGCTTTGTAAGCCTTTAATGCATTTTTCAAATCAAGTAATGGCATTATTGGTCCTTAATGAATATAATATAAAACATTATTAACCTTCTCCAAAAATCAAGGAGTTAAAATTGTGATTTGAAGTCTTTTAGAGTAAAATCTTTCTATGAATAAGAATTAGGTGTGGATATAAGTTAATTGAGAGCCAAAGCATACAAAAAAATTAGTGTGCATCTTTATAGTTTATCTTTCATTAATGCGCTTCTTATTTACATTGATCTCATATGTATGTATAACATTGATCTATTTACTTTGGACATTTTTTTATACGGAGTTTTACATACATACCACTTTATTTCATACTATTTACATATCTAACACCTAAAACATTAATATTACATGACTACCACCATATGAAATATTAAAGTTTATAGGATAGTATGAATGGTAGAAATGAATTATAGGAGTGATATATTTGATATTAAAATTGTATATGGGTGGTAGGCATGTAATATTAATGTTGTAGGTATTAGATATGTAAATAACATGAAATAAAGTTGTATGTATGTAAATTTCCCTTTTTTATATTTAGTGTATGATAGTTTCCTTTTTTTAGCCTGTATTTGTATTCAATAGTTATTTATTCACTCACTACCTTCATTTCTTAAGATTCGTCTGTGAAAGCTTTCTTATTGTTTTTTTAAATAATTTTTTTATAAAAAAATTTTACTTTAAGAAGCACTAAAGGCCTTAGACTATACAATTCACTAGGAGTTATTATTCTAATTGAGCTAATGTCATAATTTTTTAATAAATAAATGGGAAAATAAGATGCTAGATAAAATAAATGTAGCATAATTATCGAGCAAAAAGAAGGTTGATATATGTGTAAAAAAAGATTTGTGATATTTAGATTAAACACCTTATACCACTCGAGAAGTGCAAATAAAAAATTGAAGATTTTTAAGCAAATTATACATGAAAAGGAAAATCAAACCCAAATTGCATGGCCCATATAGCTATTTCTGCTCCCCGACCCAGGCCTGATTAAAAATCGTCAGCTGTTCAGAACTTGGGCTTTATCCAATTGAGCATTTGAAAGCCCAATCAGGCCTGCTTAAGTAGGAACTTGGTTGGATAAAAAATTATAAATAATGCTAAACAGACCTAAGCATAGCATAATTAGCATTCAAATGTCCCAAGTAACAAAGGCTTTGTTTGGGGCGGCTTTTTTATTGTTATTTAAAGCAGACTTTCAGTACAAAAAGTAAGAAACAATAAAGAAGTCGTCCCAAATGAAACTTAAATCTGATATTTATTTGATCACACATTAATTACGAGACTATTTTGTTCGGCTTTGTTAGTATTGCATTGATTATATTTTAATTTCACGTCCTCTTACTTTTTTTGGGTATTTGATTTTTTAAATAATGTTAAGTTTAAGTGTATTAGTAATGTTCTAAGAGATAAAATTTTGGAATATTTTAGATTCATTCAACTTAAAGCGAAATTAAAATACATTGTCAACAATTCTGTCGCCCTGATATTCTTTATCACACCTTGCAATTCTTCATCGTATACTTCATCTCCTCGTTATAGTCCTTACTATCTATCTGAGCTAAGATTCACCACAAGAATCTTCATTAGCACTACAACGCTCACAGTTCTATCCTCCGTCACATTGCATAACATATTCACCCTTGCCCTCGTCACCTAGAACATCTAAATTCATGAAGTAAACTTCTAGCTAATGTATGCTTGAATTTAGTATTTCTTATTTAGATTAGATTTTACTATTAAATTAATACAATTAACGCACATTAGGTCAAATTTAACTATTTGAATAGTTAATATGTTATTATGTATGTTTCATATTTCTTTTTTCCATATATCAGTTTCTCTATAGCAGTAGTAGAATACCAACCTATTAAACTATTACTTTATTCAACATCAAGAAGAACCTTGTGAACATTAGCAATTTTATAATATTCCACATATTTGTTATTGTTGAATTGTAAATTATCTAATAGATGACATCATACTTTATTAATGAATCCGTCTAATCAACTTAGGAACTAGTGAATGAGGATAAAGAATAGAGAATGCAGGAGTATGGATTAGCAGAGTCGTCACTATCTCATTCAAAAGTAAGAAATCTTAAAAAAGTCAAAATCTAAGGCCACTTAAAAAGGAAATGATATCCCTATTGTTCTTCATCACACAATATTTATAGGGTTTTGGAGGCTATAGAAAAGGCTTAAAAAAACTACAAATAGATAGCCATTCAACACTAAACTCTAATATAGGACACTCAACGTCTCCTAATTGGCTCTGAGAAGGTGAATTCAATGATCTAGTGAGCTATCTTTCGCCTAGCGAGCTTAAGAAGGGAAGTCATGCATGAGAGGAGGCAAGCATGTAGATGGATAGTCATATTGTGATATTGGCAAGTAACATAAGAGGCTCGTTGTGGCCTTGATGCAGCGAGATGAGATGCACATATAGGGACGTTGAGAAGTTGAGCCTATCACAGATTGTAGCTGAGTGCGTGAAGGGTTTCTAAAGTAGATGTTTTTCCTCTGGCAACCATGGGGGAGTCTTTCAAGGTATTTGCTTCTGAGAGGGAATATCGTTGTCACGACCCATACTCTACTTGCGAGGATACCTTAGAAGGTGATAAAGAATGTACAATTATAATCTTCATACAAACTATTGCACGCATCATTAACATGTGTTTTGTGCTTTATTTTTCAGTATATATAGAATTAAAAAGAAAATTTTATGAGCTTCATTTTATTCCTAAGATTTAAGAAATCACTATTGATATTAAAAGATCTCAGTTACCCAGTATTTATCAAATACCTCTTTTATCTTCACAAACATATATCGTCATGTCCATTCAAAGAGTTGTCATAAACAACATCTCTTTAATTTCATAGCTCTTACTTTGAACCAAATGTAGAAAAATAGCTATTCTAAGCAAGAAAAAATGTTTACTTCTCACTAACTTTTCAAAAAGAAAAAAAAAAAAGAGCTGACAAATGTTTTCCTTTTGTTGCTAATACCAAAAATCATAT